ATAAAAAAGAGACACACCATTTCAGATGCCTATAAACCATACTCTACGTTGTACGTTGTACAAACTCCGCTCCTGGTTATGTGGTAATAATTGCGATTAGCACGATTAGTAAATCAGAGTAGTAATATTGACGTATTTGAGTTTATTTGATTTTAGTATTTATGAATAGAGTCGTTCCCTCCCTCCCTACCGTAACCATTGGAAAAGTATTAATTCGTTCAATTTCAAGTTTGTAATAGATGGCCTGTCGTGACGACAGTCATAAAAGTTTATTATTGGTCTTGTCAAAAAAATTAAGCATAGCGTATCATTAACAAGTTATGGCCTGTCGTGACGACAGTCATTTTAGGATTTGTAGTAGCAAAAAAAAAAATAGTATTCGATTTTATGAAATTTGCATGGGATGCTCGACGCGAAAGGAATAAAACCCGTATGTTTTTAGTCGTTGACAGCAAGCGTATGCGAGACAAAATGTTAATGCAGACCGGATGATATTAACAGGCCAAATATGCTAAAATGCAGGCCAAATAATCTCACTTGCTTGACACAAAATAGTTCTATATTCCTATAATGTAATAAAATTCGAAAAGACTTTATATAAAATTTTACGCTGCTATGTTTTTTTTATATTATAAACTCCTGTTACATTGAATTTGTTAATAAACATAATAAGAACAGAGAAAATTTTGATGATACTGCATCATTATTACATTTAATATTTGAAAAAAATTACTGGTAAAGATAGTCTGATTAAGTAATTAACCGCCTAATTTCTGGAGAGTCTGGGTTCTCACGTGTAAATCCATACATAATTTGATTTGGTGGAGTAAATGGATCTCTTCTGCTTATGAAATCTTCTGCTAGTTTGTTGGTTTGCGCCTGTGAATAAAAAAATTTACTACGGTATAAACCTCATATCACAAAAAGAAAGCAAATTTAAATACAAAATTAAAAATGGCTTACCTCTAATGCTATGAAATGGCAGAAGGTAGATTCGATTACCGGCATTGAAGCTTTGTCAATTACTAGCCTACTTTTGCAGAAAGGCCATGACGAATATATTCCGTCAAAGCTCAGATCCATAATAAAAGATTCAATTACGTCACCTAAATAATAACTTGGTCAAACATAAACATATATAAGGAATTTACAGTTTATATATACATACCCGCATTTGTAAAAACCACCGATTTATTAGGGCCACCCTTTAAATTTAATTGTTGGTTTATGGATTTTTTTGCTCTTAAGTTTACTTTTACGAAATCTTTTTTTTTTTGCAATGGGGTAAACCCAAGCGGCTTTATTTCAGAGTTCAACAATGGTATATTATTGACAATACATGAAAAATCTGGTCGCTTCTGGGAACCAGCAGCCGAACGATCCAGTCTTACTTCGTATACCTTTGGTATTAAAAAAATTGGCTTTATAAATGGATGCAAATAATTGCAACAATGGAGGTTTTCGGAAATTTTATTAGGTGCATTTATTGGAACATCGCGTCTAAATGCGTTGGAAGTGTTATTAATCTTAAAATGATAAATACGAATCTATTACAGGCGATCCCTTCTATTTGGCACTAGAGGCTGATGTTTGACAAATAAGCATTTAATTATAGCACATACAGTAAATGCTTAACCTCAAGTGTCAAATGGAAAGGGTCGCCTATAATCCATACGAAATAAATTCAACTCACAGTTCATTGAAAATTCTAGCTGCAGTTTGCCCGATAGATGATTCTTCTGCATTCATAAAAACATTTTTTCCAATCACAACCTTTTTTGCTGCTTCATGTAAATTTGCCGAAACAGACGGTGGTATAATAGTTTCCTCAATCTTATATGGATTGGTTTCTGTTATAAGGCTCCATTCATTGAATGTAAAATATTCATATGGATATGGACAAGGAGAAGAAAGGACTATAATCGACGCCAATGCCCTGTAATATGATTGCAAAAAAAGTAAGGCCAAATAATATCTTTCCTTCTGAATTTCAAGTAATCTAGCCATGACGAAAACGAGGTGTCAGGTCCTGTGATTTTCGAGGATCTGGGATAACGTGAAATTTTACGAAACAATAAAGTTTTTTTTAAAAATTGCAAATAGCTCAAAGTTTTGCTTATTAAATCACCTGCGCTCTAATTAAAAAATTTTCTTGCAAAATTTTACTATTTGGTACGATTTCCTAACCCTAAATATATGTTTTTTCCTTTTATTTATATGTTGTATTCGATTGTTTTGATTTTTACTGGATGCTTCTGAAGTCACATGACCCGACACTTCGTTTTTGCCATAGCTAGGGTTTTATGAATTTCTACTTTGCGTTACTTACAATATTTCATATGTATCATCCCATTTTAACAACCCTTTCTTCACTTTATTAACTACGCTCAATTGATATTGGCGAAATCTTTGAGTTATATTAATATTTCCCACACGCCACTAAAATGAATAAATATTAATATTTCCTACATGTCACTAAATAAATAAATTAATATTCGGAAGAACAAAAATAAAAGCCAATTCACGTTATTTACCTCAGTACGAGACACCTTTTTTAGTTGCTCCTCAATCTTTGCAATATCATTAATTTTAACAGATTCATCGGCCTCATCAATTGTAGAATTTGTAAGGGGGGTAGAGCTAAATTCCGAATTTTCATCCGTACTTATATCTGTTTGGCCTTTGTCATTCTCACTACCAGAGCCTCTTTGCTAAAATTGCAATATACACAATGCATCAGCTATACATGTACAGCAAGTGCAGTACATCAGCAACAGCCTCACCTTTTTTGCTACTGGGACATTATCTTCGATATGAGCTTGAATATTAGATGTAATTGAACGCTTTCTTTCATTCTTGAATATTTGTAAAAAAATATATTCAGAAACCAAGAAGTATAAAAATAAAGAACACGCATAAATATACCGATTCATAATTATGGGTTGAACTTTTATCAGTTCTCAATGTGCTATCAATTTCACTGATGGCGCTATTGATCAAATTTCTAGTGCCGCGGATCACCGTTCGTGCAGTCTTTATCTAATGAGGAAGTACAGGAAGTACAATCAGTACAAGTCTGAATTAGAAATAGCAACTCAAAAATAGTAATCTAGCGAACCTTATCCAATTGCAATTTTGAGTTGGTAGAATATGATTCTATTTCATCCCAAAAAATTTGAACTTCAGGACATTTTTTACGATGATCCTTATAATAAAAAATCAAATATGAGTAAATATAAAATTAAAAAAAAAAACAATAATATATTGTAAAAAAACTCTAGTGACAACTGGATGACCACAACGGACACACAACGGAACGCAGACCATAAGGTGGACAAACGCAGATGCCACCGTAGCTGTGTGCATAAGGTAGGTATTTATGTCCTAATCTTATGATATACGACGAAACGCAGATCGTCAGAGAGTCAAACGCAGATGACTCCCCTAGTCGCATAATCGCGTCTGGAAATCTCAGTACAAAAAGAAAAAAACGACCTTATGATTTTTTAATAAATGACTTGCAGACATTCTAATTTCTTTTGAATCATCTTTTATTAGCTCTTCGAGGTCACTAGCAAGTTTACGGGATTCTTTTTGATATGAGAAGGAAAAATCAGGTTGCTGACTGCGGTATTTGTAGAAACCTATAAAGCTGTAATTTATTGCCGGAGTCTCACTAAAGTAAGTAGAATATTTGTTACTAGTCATGTCGGTCAAAGATTTTTTGCAGAGTTACGCGATTTCGCGATTTCAAAGATTTTATAGCTAGGGAATACTATAAACTTATATATTTTAACAATACGTACAATACCGTTACGTAATAATTCGTAAGTAGGGGTAAAGTAGGGGTAAAAATAAGTATTATATTACTTATTTTATTATCCTGCCCATCTCTAGGCTTGACTAACCAGTAACCCGACTTTGGGGGTCCGCCCTGACTGGGTCCAAGAGGTATCCTTATGTCAAAATTCTCTATATATCTAACATTAACGTTTTTTTTTTGATTTGCGCGTTACACAAGATCCTGTGATTTTATTGGGTCTGAAGTGATCTCCGGCTTTACTTATTTGTGCCGGTAATACAAACTCCTAAAAAGAAAAGACCGATTTTACCAACCCATTTTTCAAATTTCCTTTTTTAGAAAAACCTGATGATCGTCAAATTTAACCAATAAAATTATTTATCAGTTAGATAGTCATTTGATTTTCC